AAAAAAGAATGGTAAGTGCATGGGAAGGGAACACGGAGAGTATGGGAGGTCCCACTTTGGATGGGTGGATGAGGAAGCCTTGAGCAGAGCCTTGAATGAGGTAAGGCAGGACATGCCCTCCACCACCTCAGGAAAACCTCTTTGTGCTTTGGGTTAGGAGATTCTGGGTGGTGCAAGTCATTAAGTGCTCAAATACTAGCTTAATGGTTGGCGGTTTGAAACCACCCAGAGGTGCCTTGGAAGACAGGCCTGGAGATCTGTTTCTGAAAGGTCACAGCCTTAAAAACCTTATCAAGCACAGTGTTATTCTGCACACATGGGGTTGCCATGAGTCAGAATTGGCTTGACAACTAAAAACAGTAGTAACTCTGAATTAAGCTTTTCTTGTCCTTTAGATCTCAGGGAACAGCTTAGATGTCTGTTTTCCTCCAAAGCTTCCACTCATCCCCCAAACCTGGCTAGAGCCCCTTCTATATATACTTATTTTATATAATAATTGCTTCTTTACTATATTAAAGAGTCCTTGGGTGGTACAAACAGTGTGATTGGCTGCTAACTGAAAGGTGGAGTGGAGTCCACTCAGGGGTACCTCAGAAGAAAGGCATGGTGATCTACTTCTGAAAAACCAGTCATTAAAAACCCTATGAAGCACACACAGTTCTACTCAAACACATGGAGTCACCAGGAGTTTGAATCAACCAGACAACTGTTTTTTTTTTTTTTTTTTTTTTTTTTTTGCTATCTTAGGATACTGTGAGCATTCTAGGGATAGATCACACAATCTAATAGAGTGCCTAGTACACCGAGATGCCCAAGAAATCCATGCAAAATGAATATATGCATGCATGAATTAACTGTTTAAATAATAGAGTGAACTGGGCAGTTGCTGCCTGGTGGTTACTGGTCCTCAGAGTCCAGGGCTTTTGGTAGTCATGGGGGCATTCCAGCCCTCCAGCACCCCTTTTATTACATCACAGACCTTGTCGTTCACTCACTGGAAGCTTCTTTTGGTGGGATGTTCTTGCATTTTGGACCCATTGCTGAGGTTATTGGTACAATGACCACACATTCCAAATCAGAAAACAGGAGCATAGTCTGTCATAT